TACGTGGATCCAGTGGGGAGAGAAGATGGACTGAATAACCTGGATCCTGGTACCTGATATGCTATGTGAGGAGGTGACAACAGAGACTCCAGCTGCTGATAGACCCGCCTTAGAGGTAACTCAACCTTTTCCTTCTTTCTCGTTTCAAGGTTCAAGCTCAAGGTTTGGGAATCCAAGGGGAACTGGGCAATGATCTCTCCTAAAGTCCCAACCCAAAGCAAAATGGCAGAATTTGGAGAAAGAAAAGACCGGTCAGGTCACTGCTATCCTAGCTCTTTATCTGCACCCCATCACCATGGTATCTGGGCACCTCACTGTACTGAATGTATCTATCCTCCCACCACCCCATGAGATGCTATTATCCCTGCTTTCCAGATGGGGACCTGACACACAGAGGGACACATTTATAGAGGTGTTTCGGCACCTAAAGATACAGAGACAGTCCTAGTGGGCGTTAGGTACTGCACTTACTCAGGCACCAATCCACATTTTTAGGTACCTTCCAGCCTTTGGAAATTTGGCCTGACAGTCACAGAAGGAGTTTGACAAAGGAGGGAATTGAAGTAACATCTGCCAAGTCCAAGGTGAACTCTTCAAACACTGGAGCACCCTTCATTCCACTTTAAGCTTTCCTCCAGGCTACACACAAGATTTTACTTTTCTTTATGGCACAGACCTCACTGGGGCATTGAGAGGGTTAGTGAGACAATGTGGGTACAACACGGCTGATATTTCCTATGTGCTCAGTGCTAAGAGAGCAGACACTGGCTATACACAGGCTTGGTAGAATTCAATTTTATTTGTGCAATTTCAACTAATATTGTTTTGTATTTTTAAGTTTCGTTGTGATTTTTAACTATTTTAGTTTTTAAGTTGTGGGAAATTCAGTGGGGGGTAGGGTTGGGGTCAGGGTTAGGGCAATGGGGTTGTGGGGGACTCCCAGCAGTGACAACAGAGGTACAGGTGGCTCCCTAGATGGCCGAGGGGTCCAAGACACTGCAACTGCTATGACCCAGCAGAGCAGAGATCTGTGACCAGGGCTGCGAGGAGGAGGAGAACGATGAGCCCTGGGCCATAGCAGAGGCCACCCCATAGTTGAATGGCTCCGTCTATGGGTAGAAGCCATCCAGCAGTGGGGGGGGGTGGCCTCTCCCATTGCCAGGGACTCATCCTCATCCTCGCAGACCAGGCTGTGGCTCTGGGTTCTTTCCCTCCAGGACTGTAGCCTTTCCCGCACCTTGCACCTGTAGGGATGGCTGTCACCATGCTGTGAGAGCTGGGGGCAGAGGGATCCCTGCATGGCCGTGGGACCACTGACACACATCCCTGCCGGCACACGGCGTGGGGGGAGGCTGCACTAACGCCGCCTGTGACCAATATTTTCTGTTGTTGGTTTCAGTGTCTCAGCTGATAGCAATGTTTACCAACATCTATCCATTGAAACCAAATCCTGCCGAGTCATGAACTCTATAATTTCATGATCACTTTCACCCAAGCTGACTTCCACTTTCAAATTCTCAACCAGTTCCTCCCTATTTATCAAAATCAAATCTGCAACAGCCTCTCCCCCTAGTAGCTTTCTCCACCTTCTGAAATTAAAAATTGCCTCCAAATTTGGCAGATTTGAAAAAATGGCAGATACGACAGCCACTAAAAGAGAGAGAGAATTAATATTTTTTAACCAAATAAAGGAAAAAAAGAATAAAATGTAGAGCTGATAAAAAATTCTGTTGGAATATTTTTCCATCAGAAAATACCAATTCATCAAGATCAAAATGTTACATGGAAACCAATTTATTTCTACAAAATTTTGCTAGGGAAAAAAAAGTTGTTATATATTGTTTTATAAATGAAATACAATAAAATTTAAATAATTTTTAAATGTACACATAAAATACAATAAATAATAAAAAACATAAGTAATCTAAAATAAAAATAACCTAGAAATAAAATTAATAATACATACATTTTTAAAAAGTCAAAATTGGCATGAAAGCCAACATTTGACATCATGGAATTACCCATGAAATGGAAATTTGGGTTCCTCACCGCTCTACTAATATGAAAATATAATATTTCTTACAAATTTCCAATAGAAATCTTTATGCAAGAGAGGGTAAATTTTTAGCAAAATTGATAGATTCTAGCTTTAAAAGGAGATTGGATAACTGTATGACCAGCAGTAACATTTCCAACACTGGGGCCCAACTGCATAAGATGGTCACCTGGCTGGGTCTCTGTATGTGGAGTGTCCTACTGCAGGACTATGAGCTATTGTCATAGGGAAGGACAGGTGTTTCTGCATAAAATTTTCAAAGGGTGCTAATAGAGTTAGGCTGCCAATTTCCCCTGCAATTCACTTGCAGTTGGCTGCCCACCCATTGCAATTCCCAGCCCTATTTGCTTGGTTTGTTTCTTTGTTGTGGCTGCCCCTAAAATATAAAATCCTGACCCATTTCAGCAGTGGAACTCCAGCCTATTTTGTTCTGCTTTTAGACACCAGGCAGTGACTATTTGCTCCAATAGCTACCTAATGTGTCTCCTCTATCTGTGTTCCTGTGCTGTTGTGGCTGAGCCCCAACACCATTGTATCTGAGTGCTTGGTGCCATCTGTCAAGGTACTACACAGGTTTCCAGAGAGATTAACATTTTGTTTAACCTGCAGTTTGCTCAGATATGAAATCTGTCCCAGGGATCAAGAGAGATGGCATTCCCCCTCCCCGTCTTCTATTCTCAACTCAACTATTTTTTCAGTAACCAGCAGAGGGAGACAATGAAAATAATGCTGATATTTATTGAGTGAATTTTGTTAATTTATGTCACAGAGTTAATTTCTTACCCATAGACACACCTCATGGCGAGCCCAGAACAGGGAAATGAAACGTCCATCACAGAATTCATCCTCCTGGGATTTGGGACGCTCCCTGAACTGCAAATCTTTCTTTTCCTGCTGTTTCTCGTGATCTACATTGCAACCGTGGCTGGGAACATCCTCATCGTGACCTTAGTTGTGACTGATCAGCACCTTCACACCCCCATGTACTTCTTCCTGGGGAACTTGTCCTGCTTGGAGACCTTCTACACCTCGACCATCCTGCCCAGCATGCTGGCCAGTCTCCTGAATGAGAACAGAACCATTTCATTTAGTGGATGTCTCACACAATATTTTTTCTTTGGTTCTATGATTGCCACAGAATGCCTTCTCTTATCGGTGATGTCTTATGATCGGTATTTAGCGATATGCAATCCAATGCACTATGCAACCCGTATGAGTGGCAGGTTATATCTCCAGCTTGCAGGTGGCTCTTGGACAGGTGGCTTCCTATGTAGTGGCATAATAACATTGTCGATATCCCAGTTAACTTTCTGTGGCTCCAATGATATTGACCATTTCTTTTGCGATCTTATCCCCCTGGTAAATCTCTCCTGCAATGATCCTCAGATGATGGAAATGTTGGCTTTAACACTATGCTTGATTTTCTTAGTGGTTCCATTCCTACTTACCTTGATGTCCTACATCTGCATCATTGTGACCATCCTAAGAATTCCTTCCACCACTGGGAGGCAAAAGGCCTTTTCCACCTGCTCCTCCCACCTCATTGTGGTGACAATTTATTATGGAACTCTACTGATTGCCTATATGTTCCCAACAACCAACACACTGAGAGATTTCAAGAAAGTTCTCTCTGTCGTCTACACCGTCCTGACTCCCCTGGTCAATCCCCTCATCTATAGCCTGAGAAACAAAGAAGTCAAAGAAGCTCTGAGGAAAGCTAGCAGGAAGTTCATGTTTGGACGATGCTAACCGATCAGCTTCCTTGGGTTAAAATGAAGTAGACATACCATAGGCTGGTTTGGGGCCTGAAACAAAGCCTGCTGTAGTCCAAGGTCTTGGGTTTCGTGTCATGCTCTTAGAGTCACAGCTATGGGAGAAAGTGGAGACAGAGAGATCTTTAATCCTGTGACCCTATTCTTTTTAGGACCTTCATAAGATGCCACAGGTGGGTAGTACTGGGTTGCTGAGAGACTTGAACTTCTGGCTGCTCAAAGTTCAGACAATGAGGGGAGTTTGTGCTCCGTGAGAGGCTGCAGGTAAGATGAATTCAGCTGGAATGCTGAGCATCCATTCATTGTAGGGTGAGAGAATTCTACACACACACACACACACACACACAATGTGTGATTCCTACATTATAAAAATATAGGGTTGCAATGTCCACATGGAACTCCAGTGTTATGCAATTGTATAATTAACTTTTGTTTCTTAGTGTCTTTCATCCCCAGGCTTCTTTCCAAAGGAACAGAAAAGCAAAAGGAAACCCTCTAACCTGTACCGCAGAACAGAGGACACCAGCCCAGGCCTCTTATTTGCCCATTTTCAACAGTGACTTAGGGCCAGTTTTTCAGGATACTTGGCTGCTCAGTAGGATTTTCAAAAGCATCTGGGCACCTCGCTTGCTAGATTGGGCCCAACAGGTGAGCCAGACCAGGGAATGCCTATCTTCCCCAGGTCCGTGCATTGCTCTGGGGCTTCGGCGACAAGGTGCCTGGTGTGGGGCTGCAGGGGGCATGTCCAGAGACAGAAGCATAGGGGCCTATGGATCTTTTACTGCAAACACGTAGGTGCCTACAGGGTTTGCCGGCAGCTCAGCAGGGTTTTGTGAATAACAGGGGGCCGGATTCTGGGATTCAGAGGCCTAAAGGGGAGACTTTGTGACTCTAGCCCTAACTCCACATCCTTATCCTCACGTTATAGCTGGGGAAACAAAGGCAGAAAGATGTGATGTTACCTGCCCAGAGACATTCAGCAGGCTAGTGGCAGGGACAGGCAAAGAAACCAAATATCCAGAGTCCTAATCCAGTGCACTCTCCGCTCCACAATGTCCAGTTGTAATTGACAATGGGACCTAAGGGTGTTAGGTGCCCAATTCCCATTCACTGTCCATAGGATTTGGGTGCCTAACATCAGCCTCTTATAGAAAAACCCAGCCTGTACATTTATAGCCAAAGCAATGCCCTGAGAATTCCTTCCACTCCCAGGCAATGTTTCCCACCAGTTCCTTCTAATGTTTTACCATTTTCAAGGAGACCCTAATAATTGTGTCTCTGTTACCAAAAGCATCGTTCAATAAAAGAACTAAACTAAGTCTTCTCTTTCTGTCGTCTTTGTTGTCATACCTCCCATTATCTACCCCCTTCATAACCAGTGTGAGGAATACATGTCTCAAGGCTTGGCTACACATAGAAGTTGCACCACTTTAACTGTATCAGCCTATCCCCACCAGCCCTGACTAGAGAAGGAGCCCAGCTGAGGGGAATCAGGCAATGTTCAATAAAGGGCAGAAGGGGGCTAGGGTAAGAGGCCAGCTCAGGAGGCTGAAGTGAAATTTCAGAGAGCAAGAGAGGGAAAACCCTGGTACTGGGGGAATTGCTCCAGCTAGGAAGAGCTGAGAGTAGCCTGCTAAGGCGGGAAGGACTCAGATCAGATGGGGAGTTTGGATGACTTCTGGGTTTAGTTTTGAACTTTAAGTTAATAAATGAAACCTATATGGGGATGATTGTGATTGGACTGGAAAAAACCCGTGTGGAGTTTATTTGGGGGAATGAAGATGGCAAACTGAGGCGAGGGGCCATGTTCTGGGCTGCCCTCAGGCCTTCAGGGGGCACCGTGAGGGGGTCATTCATGTACTCTGACTGGATGCAATTATAGTGATGTAAAGGTGCTCATTTCGGTATAGTTCATTCCCATACGGGAAGGGGAATAAGCTATAACAGTATAAGGGACTTCTATATTGGTAAACTGTGTCTGCACTAGAGGTTGTACCGGTATAATGATTTCCATAACAGTGTCACACCACTAACCAGAATAGTTATACTGGTGCAAAATCTGTGTGGAAACCTAGCGTGAGTCCATGTGAAAATACATCAGCACATTCATGGCCTTGAAAAGAACGCTGATAATCCAAGGAAACTGTCTGTTGCATTTCAATGGAATGCTGATAATCTACGCTGATTGGCCAAGTCAAAAGCGGCCGACTGACGGAAAGAGAGGCCAGAGTGAATAATTCACAGCTAGACACTTGGGGGGCATCTACACTGCAGCCGGGGCGGTGAATGGCAGCTCCTGTAACTGTAGCCGCTGTAGCTGTACCCTAGCTAGCTCGCTCAAAATAGAAGTGAGGAAACCACAGTACCAGCTTCAGCGCCGGCTGCACAAGCAAGAACATACCCTCGGCTGCCAGTGCTGAACTCTGCACTGGGGGCAGCAGAGGGGGAGGGATGGGAAAGGGGCGGCTTTATTGTGTAATGGCACTAGGGGTAACAGAGGGTGAAGTCTGGTAAAGGCGTGGCTATGGTGTATAGTGGGCACTATGCAGGAGCCAAGCTTAATAAGGCCAATGTTTTATGTATCCTTTCTAATGATCTTTAGATGGCAGCGGATCATAGGGAATGACAAATGGACAGTAATAAATATTAAACCTGTGATTTCAGTAAAAAAAATATTAAGTGATTAGGAGTCGATAAACTCGGAATTAAATATTTAAGCCAAAGCGTGTGAAGGTCCAGGTCTATCCCTGTATTATAGCCAATTTTCAGTTTAGATCTGTATCCTTCAAAGAGTTAGGCAATGGGTTTTCATCCCTATCTGCAATATTTTTGTCAGAGATTAATTAAAAGCAAAGCAAAAAAAAAAAGAAACCTGCTTTTTTTCCTTACATGCAATTATGTGGGCCACAATATTCAACATTGGGCATTATGAAAAACAAAGCTTTGGTAACACAAAATTATTCACACAGGTGATAAACTGGACTGACACCTTATTACATGGTTAGTGAGCACATTACGCTAGGAGAGGACTTGGAATAACAATCTTCTAGTTTGTTTTGCCTTCAGAAATAAGTGGATATTTGTATTCTTCCATAAAGGCTGGAACAACCCTTTCCTTCAGGGGAAGATGTGACAGTATGTCAAAAACTTCATGCTGAGAAAGCCCAGTTTTTGAATCAAATTGCAGAATATCGTATAATACACAGAAATGAAATGATCATATTAACTGTACCCAAATAGGACCGTGGGCTAGTGTGAATATATAAACAATCCTATAGAGGAGAGTAATCAATAATGTTCTGTTGGTTATCATTCACTCCAATAGACCAACAAGAGGCCTATAGCTCTGGTACAAGATTATCTAATTTGTATAATTGCCATGGCGCTGAAGATCCCTGAAACTTTTCAGGGATAGGTGAAGAAACTAGTTGCACTTTTGTAATCTCAGGTTTCTAGCAATTCAATGGGAGTGGGGTGTTTATTGTATATATTACCCCACTTTGAAAATCCCAACCTAAATGTGTAAAGCACCTTGTTGCACCTGCATTTTATCTGAGCAACAATCCCCATTTGCTCTTTTCAGAAATGTCTGAGCAGGAGGCCTTAAACTAAGGGTAACATTCTGAAAAACACTAGAGCAAATTTCAAAAGTG